ACAAAACCCCACGTGGCTTTTCCAATAAAATTAGAGATAGACGCCATTGCACCTCGAGTTGCTACTGATCTAGCCTTCCCGTTGTGTAATGGCGGAAATGACCCGAGAAATGCTTGTGTAGGTTAAGTCATTTCCGGGTTGCGTGACGGAGAAAATCATTAGTGAGAATGCGTGGATGAAGCTAAATAAATTCCGGGTTGCGTCGTGGCGAAATTACCGCTGAAAACAAATGCCGGGTTGTATTATATCAGAAATCTTGCTTTTCTCAGCCACGACCCGGATATAAGGATGGGAAACCGTTGAGAATGCGTGGCTGGATGAACATGTATAATGGCAAAAGCTTTCTCATGCTGTCTTTAATAATTCATGGTATGACTTGAATGCGGTTGTTTTTGATTGTGATCTGTATGCGAGTGTGATTATTTCATTATTGCATACATGAAAGCACTATGAAGAAATTATGACTGCTTGACAATAGCGTGGACGAAGGAAGAATGCACAAAGTTGAGTTATTTAGACTATTAAGGAGTTGAGCAAGAGAAAATGCAGTATCTTTTTATAAATGGCTTTTGACATAATATCATTTCGATTTATTTTAAAGCAAATGATGTGCACACACACACACACACACACACACACACACACACACACACACACACACACACACACACACACACACCCACACACACCACACACACACACACACACACACACCCACACACACACACACACACACACACACACACCAGTCTAGTTTTGGAACCAGAATTTTTTTAGTCAAATAAAAGGTTATAGACTACAGATTCTATAGCTCTTCACTCCAAACAAAAACCTCTTTGATCATTCAAATTGTTTGTAGTCTACCGACGGCCATAAACGCTCTCCGCCATTTAATTAAACTCCTTTTCACATTTTCCCTTTACGTGCGATGTCGCGTTTACGGGAGGAATTTCAAGACGTCATCTGATCTGACGAAAGTAGGCCTAAACTTGAATTACACAGCAGAACTATAAGGTCGGCGGCTTGTGTGTGTGTTGTGTGTGTATGTGTGTGCATGTGTGTGTTGTGTGTGGTGTGTGTGTGTGTGTTGTGTGTGTGTATGTGTGTGTATGTGTGTGCATGTGTGTGTATGTGTGTTGCGTGTATAGCAGGGTGCAATGCAAGCATACTGCACATTGTAAGGGTTGCAATACAAGCATACTGCATATTGTAAGGTGCAATGCAAGCATACTGCATACTGTACCATGTGGTCCCACGTGTGTCCATATTTAAACCATGTGCATGCCCACGCTACAGCTCCAAGCTACCTTTGACATGCCGCATGACAGGGGGTGGCAAAGCTGATCAGTTGACCTGACACACATTCGCAGGACTCTCTCACGGTCATCCGCTCGAGCAGCATTTCCAAGAGTTGATACCCAACAATAAATAAATATAAAGAGTTCCATTTAAAATGCTTCTCATCTCCAAACTCAGAGCTCGATTCCTCGCTTGCTTTCCAGTGAGCATCATCTCCGTGGGGTCCCTCGCCGGCAGCGTGGTGGCAGGCAGGGTCATGGACAAGCTAGGTCGCCGAATCACCCTGGTTGCGATGGCGCCGGTGCTCCTCCTGGGGTGGCTGACGATGGCTCTGGCTCCCAACATCGCCGGGGTGCTGACGGGGAGGGCCATCTGCGGCGTGGCGACGGCCTTCTTGTTCTCCACGGGGTCGGTGAGTGGCCTGCGAGGCGCTGCGGAGGAGGAGGAGAGAGCAGGCGTTTAGAGGTCTGTGTTGGGGTGTTGGTGGAATGCTTTGGGGAAGGAGTGTAGCTTGATAGTGTTCCGTGATTTGGTCGTCCGCTGGGTGCCTTGCAAAAATGAAATGATTGAGGCTAAGGTCATGGATCATGAATCTGGATGAATACAGTAATCTATAACGAGAAAACAATACTATTTCTTAAAAGCTTATCCCTGAACCTACAACTGCCTATGTAGTACATTGATTGGAAAAGTAAAAAAACAAATTAAATGTGATGTCATGACATCTATAATTCTAGTTTGTTACATAAGTACTGCTGTTAATGTAACACTGAATATGATTTACTTGCTATGTTTTTTTGCAAGAAATATTTCCCGCCCCACTCGCTGGAAGCACTAATCGGCTCTGCTCTTCCAGGTATACTGCAGCGAGATTCCCGAGGCGCGGATGCGCGGCCGCCTGGGCTCCGTGCCGTCCCTCTTCATCACCTTCGGCATCGTCCTGTCCTACTTGTCGGGCGCCTGCTTCTCGTGGCGCGTCAGCTGCTACGTCTGCTGCGTTCCCGTCGTCCTCATGTTCGTGGCGATGCTCTTCGCCCCGGAGACTCCCTACTGGTTGCTGCTGATGGGGCGGAGGGAGGACGCGGAGAAGGTCCTCCGCCGGCTCAGGGGCCCCGAGTACAACTTCGACGTCGAGATCGAGGAGATGGAGAAGAAAATGACCTCCGTCGGGAAGAAGATGGAATACCGTGAGCTGTGGCGGCCGCGCACACGCAGGCCGTTCCTCATCTCGCTCTTCATGATGACTCTGCAGCAAGTGGGCGCAGCGAACGTGCTCATGATGTACACGGGGACCATTTTCGTGTCCGCGGGCGTGGAGAACCATAGCCTCGCCACCGTGTACACGGGCATCGTACAGATCGTCTTCACCGTGCTGTGCGTGCTGCTCGTCGACCGCCTCGGACGCGCCCCTTCATCGTGCTCTCGACGAGCGTGATGGGCCTCGCGACCATCATGCTCGGCGTCTACTACTTATGCAATGCTGACGTCGTGGGGCTGCCGTGGCCGAGCTGGGTGCCGCTCGTGACGGTGCTGGTTGGTGTCCGGGTACTGCCTCGGCTGCCGCACCCTCCCCTGGCTCCTCTCGGCCGAGCTCTTTCAACACCACCATCAGGTCGACGGCCAATTCAGCCAACCACTTCTACAACCGCTTGCTCAACATGGCTGTGATACAGGTAAAGGAACCATGCAAGTGAATTACCATTAGGCCCTTATTACCTGCAACCAAAATGTGTCTTGTTATGCAAGTGAAATTGTATAAACATGAAATGTCTCTGTGATGGTATTATATTATTATATCAATCACCACTTATATATTATATATTATTATATATATATATATATATATATATTATATATATATATATATATATATATAGTATATATATATAATACATAATTACACAAAAACTATGGCTTAAAAACTAATCTTTCTCAGGTGTTCCCATTCTTCGTCGAAGCTGCAGGTTTTCACACCGTTTTCTTCGTTCGGGCAGCCGGAGCCTGATATGTGCCGTCCTGTCCCTCCTGTGGTGCCGGAGACCAAGGAAAGAGAGATTCTCGAGCAGATTCAAGTACTTCGAGAGCCAGGCCGCCAAGAAATCGGGCTCACAAAGCAGAGAAATCGAGTTCCTAACGGCGAGGCGGCTGGAGCGGGCCAAGGGAACAAGGCTTTCCAGGACGTGTGACGGGATTCAGGAACATATTCTGAGTGAATGAGTGTGCGCATGAGCGCGAGTGAGTGTAAGCATGAGCCATTGCGAGGACAGGCGTGAGGGAAAACCAGTTCTCTGAGTTGAGTCGAGGGGCGATCAGGGGTCTGGTTTCAACATTCGGAAGAGGGTCTGTGACCCATCAACACCCTTAGCAGGACAGCACTTCTTTAGTATAAGTAAAAATATATCTATATATAACGATTTAAGTGTAATATAAGAAAAAGGTAAAAGCAAGCGAGTGTTTGAATAACCCAAGTAAGAGACATTCATCAAGGAAAAAAAAGAAAAAAATAAGAAATAAGAAAAGATGGAACAAATTGTGTATACTAAGCTGTAACCTCTCGATCACTTGACTTTAATTTCATTTTATGTTATTTTTCCGAGAGGAATTTCTCTTCTTGCACTCTACAGAAATGTGACATGCTTGTGATAAAAAAAGAAGAAAAAAAATGGGTGTTAAAATGTTCATATCCACAAAGCTCTACTTATGGCGACCACAGTAGCACTTCAGCAATCTGGGGTCCGGGGACTCACCTCTAGTTTCGGAACGAATTACAGCTCGTTAAGTTAAATAACGTCAAAGCAGAAAAAACAACACCAATGAAGTTAATAAAACAAGCAATTACTATTTCCTGTCTTATAGGGGATGTTAAGACATTTCCTGCTCCCATGATGTAAACGCAGAGCAGGAGTGACTGGGTCGTAGCATGCGGTGTCCACGGGATCCTAAATAACAGTGCATAGAAAAATCATTAGTTATTATACACACGCCAACAGAGAATGGTAATTTCTTAGCAATGAATTCTGACTCACGATTACACTACGAGACATACACTATAATATATTCTGAAAAAAATCCCCAACATGAACTGGCTAGAAACAAGAGGGTAGTGTCTGCCCTGTCGTATTTCACTATAGAATATATCTATTGCAGATATGTCAAACCGTAGCCATACAGCAGTTATTGCTACCATGATTATTTGCAATATCGTTTTTCATCTAACGTATGCTTAAAGATCTGATTATAAACTCACTAGGGGCATTAAGTCACACTGCAATGGAAACTGTAGCCTGTTATGATTTATCTAATAGGAAATATTAGTTAGAATGTCAAGAATTAAAAAAAAAATATATAAATATGCAAATAGAAAGGAAAAATGCCAAACAATAAAAACTAGGAAAAAATGAATATGGAAAAGTATCACTGTATAATCAGAAAGCTGGATGGACAAAATTCAAGACATATAGCAAACAGAAATCAGAAAATGTTGAAATAAAATAGCCCCTAAAAATAATTTTCATTCTTATTCACAGAAACGTATTAATAGAAGACATATATTTTAGGTTAATACTAATATATATATATATTTTCTCCCTCTATCTCTATCTTGCTCTCTTTCTCTGTATTCTACGTATAATACATATATACATATATAAATAGGTACATGCATACGCACACTCACGCACATATCTAAAACTGTGTATATACATACATATTTGTGTGTGTGTGTGTGTATTATATATATATATAATTATATATATATATATACTATATATATATTTATATAATATCTATATATATATATATATATTTATAATATATACATATTATATATATATATATTATACATATTAATTATATATATAATATAATTATATATTATAATATATATATATATTATATATATATATATATATATTATATATATATATATTATTATTATAGACACACATACACACACACACACGATGCGGACATTGGTATAAGTTGTGGAAGTTGTGCCAAACCAATCAGACATGGAGTGGCGTCTAGACCAGAAGAGATTCAATGAATGGTGATTCTCTAAATATTTTTTTATGGTCGAACAGGTGATTCCGCTTCTGTATTATACAAAATTTCCGTAGGTTGAGCAATCTCTTGTCTGCACCCGTGACGCAGGCCTTCATCCATCGGTATTTGTGTTGTGCTTTTTGAGGTGTACCTACCCTACCTTTGTGTAGTAATGGTAATTTTCTATATTTACGTCCACTGACCGATTATCGACGATTTGGTATCGTTGGATTCCTCTCACTCTCCACATTGCAAATATATAGTTTTTATTGCGCGCTAACCCCCCGTTAGCGACAAACTTGGCCCCGATATCAGGGGAGGGCATGAAAGGTTCCAGGGAAAATGCGGGTTAAATAGCACTAATAATATAACGCACAGTGAAAATAACCATGGTTATTCACATAACTTTCCATTGCAGGGGCTGCCCCCTGCAACCCCCCCTGGGGGGCTGCCGCCCCCCCACCCCTGCCGAGGAAACAAAACTCCACCACATATTCACGGCAGGATAGAGCGTTACACAATCATCGTCGATGTCGGAGCAGGGGGTGTATTACCTCGTAAGATTCTCACTGAATCAGCATATTAACCTTATTATAGTCAGCATTGTATATAGAAACGATTGTAGTATAATCAGGATAAACACGGTGGCCCGCCCTCGTCGGCGGGTTTTGCGCCTTTTTCGATGTTACACCGATGGCCTCAAAGTCGAGTTTTCCTTCCTCTGGAATAACGACATTCGTATTCCTAACCGAAATAACCGTCGCGTTCAGAAGTCAGTCATAGTCGCCGCGATGGCCGAGTGTGGAGGGTGCTCGTACTCCGAGACGGATTTTCTGCGCGAGATTGCCATTAGCCAAGAAAAAATGCTTAGATATGTGCTTCCGCCACGGCCTCCTTCGTCGTGAGAAAGATTGCGGCAGGTGCGGGCAGCCAGCACCTGAATGTGAAGTTGCATCACTTCCTGTGTGCTGCAGCGTCGCTGTATCCTCCGGCCTAGGACCTCCTGCCGAACGCACCCTGCCTCCACATTTTGCGGCAAAGGAGCACCCTCCCTAGTAATTAGCGGCATTAACAAATCAGGTTAGTACCTTAAAAATCCTAGGTTATTGTAGGTTATCGGCTCCGCATCTAGTTCGTGTGCGCTCTATCCTGCTGTGAATACGTGGTGGAGGTTTTGTTTCCTCGGCGGGGTTGGGGGGCGGCAGCCCCCTCAAGGGGGGTCGCAGGGGCACAACCCCCTGCAGTGGAAAGTCATGTGAATAACTATGATTATTTGCACTGTGAGGTGAAATTATTAGGGTAATTTTCTATATTACGTCCGGCGCTCCGACATCGTCGCCCCCGCAATCGGGACCAAGTTTGTCGCTAACGGGGGGTTAGCGCGCAATAAAACCTATCTATTTGCATTGTATAGAATGAGAGGAATCCAAAGATACCAAAATCGTCGATATCGGTCATGCGGACGTAATATAGAAAAGTACCTGTAGTAATACAACTGTACATTGTCATGTACATCAATCCATACTGAATTAGACATCAGCTGATGATAGCGTTCTCGAGAAAGTAAAGAAGAGCATGTGCTTATACATGTTTTGTTATATGCCTGATAGGCCTGTCTGTTAGGCCTACACAACATTTATTTTATTAATATATTTTACATATGATTTGATATATATATTCATGTACTGATGACATCAAGATGCATCTTTTCATCATTTTGTTTATTATGTACTTTATCTTCTCTGGGCAATTTATGATAGTCATTGATGATAAAAACAGTTGAAGTTGTAGTAGTAATTATAATGATAAAAGGAAAAGAATGAATATGAAAATGAATACGATAAAGAGAAAGGGAGATAGAAATAGCATGTGAAAGAGAGAGAGAGACAGAGACAGAGAGAGAGAAATACCACGGATGGAAAAGAAAGATAAACAAAATGTGTCAATTGCAGATTATTTTAATGAACCAGGAAAAGTGAATGGAAAGGTAAAGAAAAAGAGGGACACACACATTTCTCTTTCCACACACACACACAGAAAATGAGATACACAGATAGACAGACATAGACAGAGGCGAAATAAGCTGACAGATTAAAATTTCTATGATATATTTTTTTCTGGTTTTGCTTATTTTGCATAATTGAGAAAATGTATTCTTTAAAAAGATTGTTTATAGCTTGAAATTGGGACAATTCCGTGATATTCTTGACAGGTCAACAACACGCCACCCTCGACACACACGTCATCACGACAAGAGGATGAGAAGAACCCTCAAAAAAGTCGAACTAAAACACGTTTGCGAAGGCACTAAGCTGTAACCTCTCGATCGCTTGACCTTAATTTCATTTTATGTTATTTTTCCGAGAGGAATTTCTCTTCTTGGACTGTACAAATGTGACATGCTTGTGATAAAAAAGAAAGAAAACACACACACACACACAAAAAAACAATTTTTATGGGGTATACTATTTTATTTCAGCATTTTCTGATTTCTTTTTGCTATATGTCTAGAATTTTGTCCATCCAGCTTTCTGATTATACAGTGATACTCTTCCCTATTCTTCCTTTTTTCATAGTTTTTAATGTTTGGCATTTTTACTTTCTATATATATATATTTATTTTGTTCTTGACATTCTAACTAATATTTCCTATTAGATAAATCAAAACAGGCTACAGTTTCCATTGCAGTGTGACTTAATGCCCCTAGTGAGTTTATAATCAGATCTTTAAGCATACGTCAGATGAAATACGTTATTGCCTTCGCAAACGTGTTTTAATTCGACTTTTCGAGGGTTTTTCTCATCCTCTTGTGATGATATGTGTGTATCGAGGGTGGCGTGTTGTTGATCTGTCCTTTGGCGTTTCATATCCCTGGCGGTATACACAATTTGTTCCATCTTTCTTATTTCTTTTTTTTCTTTTTTTTCCTTGATGAATGTCCTCTACTTGGGTTATTCAAACACTCGCTTGCTTTTACCTTTTTATATTACACTTAAATCGTTATATATAGATATATTTCTACTTATACTAAAGAAGTGCTGTCCTGCTAAGGGTGTTGATGGGTCACAGACCCTCTTCCGAATGTTGAAACCAGACTCCTGATCGCCCTTCGACTCAACTCAGAGAACTGGTTTTCCCTCACGCCTGTCCCTCGCAATGTAGCTCATGCTCACGTTCATTCGCTCATGCTTACACTCACTCGCTCATGCGCACACTCATTCACTCAGGATATGTTCCTGAATCCCGTCACACGTCCTGGAAAGCCTTGTTCCCTTGGCCCGCTCCAGCCGCCTCGCCGTTAGGACTCGATTTCTCTGCTTTGTGAGCCGATTTCTTGGCGGCCTGGCTCTCGAAGTACTCTTGAATCTGCTCGAGACTCTTTCCTTTGGTCTCCGGCACCAGCAGGAGGGACAGGACGGCACATATCAGGCTCAGGCTGCCGTGCACGAAGAAAACGGTGTGAGAACCTGCCGCTTCGGCGAAGAATGGGAACACCTGGAGAAAGATGATAGTTTTTAAGCCATTTGTTTATATGAATAAATAAATATATAATATATATATATATATATATATATATATATATATATATATATATATATATATATAATATAATATATATATATACATATATAGATAGATAGATATATTTATGGAGAATGATATATAATATATAACCATACAAGAGACATGTTCATGTTTATACAATTACATTCACTTGCATAACAAGACCATATTTTGGTGACAGACAATAGGTGCCTAATGGTAATTCACTTGCATGGTTCCTTTACCTGTATCACAGCCAAGTTGAGCAAGCGGTTGTAGAAGAGGCTGGCTGAGTTGGCCGTCGACCTGATGGTGGTGTTGAAGAGCTCGGCCGAGAGGAGCCAGGGGAGGGTGCGGCAGCCGAGGCAGTACCCGGACACGGCCACCAGCACCGTCACGAGCGGCACCCAGCTCGGCCACGGCAGCCCCACGACGTCATGCATGAAGTAGTAGACGCCGAGCATGATGGTCGCGAGGCCCATCACGCTCGTCGAGAGCACGATGAAGGGGCGCCGTCCGAGGCGGTCGACGAGCAGCACGCACAGCACGGTGAAGACGATCTGGACGATGCCCGTGTACACGGTGGCGAGGCTATGGTTCTCCACGCCCGCGGACATGAAAATGGTCCCCGTGTACATCATGAGCACGTTTCCTCCGCTCACTTGCTGCAGAGTCATCATGAAGAGCGAGATGAGGAACGGCCTGCGTGTGCGCGGCCGCCACAGCTCACGGTATTCCATCTTCTTCCCGACGGACGTCATTTTCTTCTCCATCTCCTCGATCTCGACGTCGAAGTTGTACTCGGGGCCCCTGAGCCGGCGGAGGACCTTCTCCGCGTCCTCCCTCCGCCCCTTCAGCAGCAACCAGTAGGGAGTCTCCGGGGCGAAGAGCATCGCCACGAACATGAGGACGACGGGGACGCAGCAGACGTAGCAGCTGACGCGCCACGAGAAGCAGGCGCCCGCCAGGTAGGACAGGACGACGCCGAAGGTGATGAAGAGGGACGGCACGGAGCCCAGGCGGCCGCGCATCCGCGCCTCGGGAATCTCGCTGCAGTATACCTGCAAGAGCAGAGCCGATTAGTGCTTCCAGCGAGTGGGGCGGGAAATATTTCTTGCAAAAAAACATAGCAGCAGTAATTACAAGTAAATCATATTCAGTGTTACATTAACAGCAGTACTTATGTAACAAACTAGAATTATAGATGTCATGACATCACATTTGATTTGTTTTTTTACTTTTCCAATCAATTTACATAGGCAGTTGTAGGTTCAGGGATAAGCTTTTAAGAAATAGTATTGTTTTCTCGTTATAGATTACTGTATTCATCCAGATTCATGATCCATGACCTTAGCCTCAATCATTTCATTTTTGCAAGGCACCCAGCGGACGACCAAATCACGGAACACTATCAAGCCACACTCCTTCCCCAAAGCATTCCACCAACACCCCAACACAGACCTCTAAACGCCTGCTCTCTCCTCCTCCTCCGCAGCGCCTCGCAGGCCACTCACCGGCCCCGTGGAGAACAAGAAGGCCGTCGCCACGCCGCAGATGGCCCTCCCCGTCAGCACCCCGGCGATGTTGGGAGCCAGAGCCATCGTCAGCCACCCCAGGAGGAGCACCGGCGCCATCGCAAGCAGGGTGGTTCGGCGACCTAGCTTGTCCATGACCCTGCCTGCCACCACGCTGCCGGCGAGGGACCCCACGGAGATGATGCTCGCTGGAAAGCAAGCGAGGAATCGAGCTCTGAGTTTGGAGATGAGAAGTATTTTAAAGGGCTTATGTGAAGTAATTATCGTGCATTGTTTTTTCCTTGAATATTGGTCAATAATGTATGCTTAGTCTATTTATGCAAAAGAAATTCGAAGAGACCCTCCCATAGCAACGCCCTTAGAAACGTAGATGCAAAACATCGGTGATCTTCGGCAATCCCCGGTAGTGACGTCAATCCCAGAACCAGGGAGAACCTTGTTGAATAGCGTGATACACAATAGTACACCGCGAGTCAAGAATATCACGGAATTGTCCCAATTTCAAGCTGGGTAATTTTCTATATTACCTTCGCCTCTCCGATATCGACGATTTTGGTATCGTTGGATTCCTCTCATTGTACAACCCAAATATGTAGGTTTTATTGCGCGGAAACCCCCCGTTAGCGACAAACTTGGCCCCGATAGCAGGGGAGGGCATGGAAGGTTCCAGGGAAAATGCGGGGTTGAATAACACTAATAATATAACCAACAGTGAAAATAACCATGGTTATTCACATGCCTTTCCATTAAAGGGGGCTGTGCCCCCTGTGACCCCCCTGGGGGGCTGCCGCCCCCCAACCCCCGCCGAGGAAACAAAACCTCCACCACGTATTCCCGGCAGGCTAGAGCGTTACACAGTTATCGTCGATCTCGGAGCGGCGGACGTATTACAATTACCTTGTAACATTCCCACTGAATCAGCATACTAACCTTGACATAGTCAGCATTGGATACAGAGACGATTGTAGTATAATCACCATGAACAGGGTATACCATGAACATAATAGCGGCAGTGGCCCGCCCTCGTCGGCTCGGCGGGTTTTGCGCCTCTTTCGATGCATCTAGTTCGTGTGCGCTCTATCCTGCCGTGAATACGTGGTGGAGGTTTTGTTTACTCGGCGGGGGTTGGGGGGGTCGCAGGGGGCGCAGCCCCCTGCAATGGAAAGTCATGTGAATAACCATGGTTATTTTCACTGTGGGTTATATTATTAGGGTAATTTTCTATATTACGTCCGCCGCTCCGACATCGTCGCCCCTGCTATCGGGGCCAAGTTTGCCGCTAACGGGGGGTTTCCGCGCAATAAAACCTACATATTTGGGTTGTACAGAGTGAGAGGAATCCAACGATACCAAAATCGTCGATATCAGAGAGGCGAAGGTAATATAGAAAATTACCTCAAGCTATAAACAATCTTTTTACAAGTATACATTTTGTCAATTATGCAAAATAAGCAAAACCAGAAAAATATATCATAGAAATTTTAATCTGTCAGTTTATTTCGCCTCTGTCTATGTCTGTCTATCTATGTATCTCATTTTCTGTGTGCGTGTGTGTGGACAGAGAAATGTGTGTGTCCCTCTTTTTCTTTACCTTTCCATTCACTTTTCCTGGTTCATTAAAATAATCTGCAATTGACACATTTTGTTTATCTTTCTTTTCCCTCCGTGGTATTTCTCTCTCTCTCTCTCTCTTTCACATGCTCTCTCTATATCCCTTTCTCTTTATCGTATTCATTTTCATATTCATCCTTTTCCTTTTATCATTATAATTATTAGTACAACTTCAAATGTTTTTATCGTTGAATTAAATTGCCCAGAGAAGATAAAGTACATAATAAACAAAATGATGAAGAGGTGTATCTTGATGTCATCAGTACATGAATATATATATCAAATCATTTAGAAATTATATTAATAAAATAAGCGCTGGGTATGCCTGACAGAGAGTCCTATCATCAGGGAAATATCAACAAACAAACATGATCAGGAACATGCTCTCTTTTACTTTCCCGAGAACGCTATCATCAGCTGATGTCTGATCCAATATGGATTGATGTACATGGCGATGTACAGTTGTATTACTACACAGAGGTAGGGTAGGTATACCCCAAAAAGCACAACACAAATACCGATGCCCCTCCACTCGCGAATGGATGTAGGCCTGCGCCATGGTTGCAGACAAGAGATTACACGCACTACACGACAACAACAAACACACATCGACACACACACATACACGCACACAAACACACATACACGCACACAACACACAACACACACATACACGCACATACACGCACACAGAATTACACAAGCCGACCCCTATAGATTTGTTGTGTAATTCAAGTTTAGGCCTACTTTCGTCAGATCAGACGACCCATGAATAAGACGCAGCTTTACTTCTCAATTACACGGGAAAAAAACTACTTCATCTCAAAACCAGTGACACTTGATTTCCAAAACACTTTAGTCGCAAGTGAATTCTAACAAAGAACAAGCTAACCTCAACGAACCTAACCTGCGAGTTAAGCCATTGATATTAGCGTATCCACTACGTTAAAAAGACTTGAAAAGCATGAGTTTCAGGAAGAAATGTTTGTGGCTGACTTATGGGAAGTGGGCAGCGAGTCCAAACAAGCAGTTTCTTTCGCTTGCTCCTTAATGGCAGAGGTTCACTTTCTCTATTCGGCGCATAAGTCGATCCCTGGCTTTGAGAGAGATTCTTAGGTATATGTATATATATATATATATATATATATATATATATATATATATATATATATATATATGTGTGTGTGTGTGTGTGTGTGTGTGTGTGTGTGTGTGTGTGTGTGTGTGTGTGTGTGTGTGTGTGTGCATGTGTGTTTGTGGTATGGAAGGTTCGTCTTGAAATTCCTCCCGTAAACCGACATCGCATGTAAAGGAAAATGGAAAAGGAGTTTAATTAATGGCGGAGAGCGTTCATGGCCGTCGGTAGACTAAGAACAATTTGAATGATCAAGGGTTTTGTTTGGAGTGAAGAGCTATAGTCTATAACCTTTTATTTGACTAAAAAAATCTGGTTCCAAAACTAGACCCGGTGTGTGTGTGTGTGTGTGTGTGTGTGTGTGTGTGTGTGTGTGTGTGTGTGTGTGTGTGCACATTCATTTGCTTTAAAATAAATACAAATTATTTTATGTCAAAAGCCATTTATAAAAGATACTGCATTTTCTCTTGCTCAACTCCTTAATAGTCTAAATAACTCAACTTTGTGCATTCTTCCTTCGTCCACGCTATTGTCAAGCAGTCATAATTACTTCATAGTGCTTTCATGTATGCAATAATGAAATAATCACACTCGCATACAGATCACAATAAAAAACAACCGCATTCAAGTCATACCATGAATTATTTAAAGACAGCATGAGAAAGCTTTTGCCATTATACATGTTCATCCAGCCACGCATTCTCAACGGTTCCCATCCTTATATCCGGGTCGTAGCTGAGAGAAGCAAGATTTCTGATATAATACAACCCGGCATTTGTTTTCAGCGGTAATTTCGCCACGACGCAACCCGGAATTTGTTTAGCTTCATCCACGCATTCTCACTAATGATTTTCTCCGTCACGCAACCCGGAATTGACTTAACCTATACAAGCATTCTCGGCGGTCATTTCCGCCATTACACAACGGGAAAGGCTAGATCAGTAGCAACTCGAGGTGCCGTGGCGTCTGATTCTATTTTTGGAAAAGCACGTGGGGTTTGTTTTGATGACGTCACAAAAGTCCCGGATGCTTTGTGAATCTGGTCGATGATTTGGCTCTCTTCAGTTTTCAAAAAAAGGATGGAAGATGATGATTTTAATCGTTAGTTTTCACTGAACAATCATCCAAACAGACGGCATGACACCTCCTCGAGTTGCTACTGACCTAGCCTTCCGCATTACACAACCTGGAATTCACTCACCCACCCATGCAGTCTCGGCGGTTCCCATCGTTATATCCGGGTCGGCGTCGAGAGAAGTCAGGGTGCCGGCGGACCAACCGTTGACGGCGCCGGACCGACAGGGGCGGTAGCCGAGCGGCGGCCGCCATTTTGCCACTGCCAACACCTTACGAAGGTAGTGTTAAGGGAAAANCATTTCTCCTCGCCTCTTTCATCTCCCGTCTTCCTCTCTCATTTCTTCCTCCCCTCTCATCTCCCCTCTCCTTCTTCCTCTTTCTTCTCCCTTCCCTCTTCCCTCTGTCCTTTCTCCTTGCCTCTCCCTTCTCTCCCTCTCCCTTCGTCTTTCTCCCCTCTCCCTCTCCCCTCTCGTCTCTCCTCTCTCTTCTCTCCTTTTCCGTCTTTCTTCTCCCTTCCTTCTCCCCTTCTCCTTTCTCCCTTCCCTCTTCCTCTCCCCTCTCTCTCCTCTTCCTCTTTTTCTCCCTCCTCTTCCCTCTCTCCTGCTCCTGGCCACACTGTCCCCTTCTCCTTCTCCCTTCCCTTCCTCTTCATTTCTCTTCTCCTCTCCCTCTTCTCCTTTCTCCCTCCCTCTCCCTCTCCCCTTTTCATTCTTCCTCTGCTCCCTTTTCTCGCAACCACCTCTTCCTCTTTTTTC